TTGACCTTGATTTGTGACCTTGACCTTAGAGCTGGTACGATGAAAGACGTACGCGACACTCTCTGTGGTGATGATGCATATGTGAATCAAGGTTTCTTGAGCGGGTCAGGAGTTATGGGCGGGACAAAAGAAAGTTTACGGGCAGAGACTAAACCATGACCAATAAGCAGCATTCAGTGCCGACATGTTGTTTTGTTTAGAGCTGTGGTTGCAACAAAAAGCAGAAAAATAAATAAATAAAATTACCCATATCCTGCACCGTTTCATTTGGAAGTAACTGTGGTTCTTCTTTGTCTGAATCTCTAAGCACCTTCTGGAAACATCAGAGAATATTTCTCATTTAAACACAAAGAAGCCGCTTGTTTTCAGACTTCCTTCCTGTTCAGAATCGCACAAAACAAATAATCCTGAATCTGGCTCCTTCAGCCTTTAGACGTTTGCAGAGCACCATTAAAATTCATCCGGCGGCGTACCTTGGCAGTGGCTTTGGGCTTGACCTGAGGGATGCATAAATGAGGAGAGAGTTGCGCTTCAGCTTTTGGAACTTGTTTTAACGAAGAAGCAGGAATGGGTGGATGGCATGCAGGATACTAACCCTGAGCTCCGGAGAGAACTCTGCAGAGTCGGAGGACAGAGCCGACGGGGGTTTGGCCTGGGCCGAGCGGTCTGAGCGGGAGGTGGAAGTGCTGGTGACATAAAATAAAGATTTTTATCACGGCTCAAGAGCCAACAATAAGAACGTTATTCATTAAAATTCCCAGTGGAGCTCAAACCTCTTGACATAAAGCTCACAAACCAGCTGTTCTCTCCTCGTTCGGCTGTTCTGCTTTTTTTTCCGTCATGTCTGTGAACCCCAAACTGACCCAATTTATTTAGCTGATCTTTAAAAAACACTTAAAACAACAAGCTGTTAAAATAAACATGCTGCTGAGCTTAAGTTCAAACAAAACTTTAAATAACATTTTAAATAAACGGATGCAAAGCTAATCTATTTTTAGATAATTGAACATTAGCCTAGTTTTTTTTATGCAACTTAAAACCTCGGGGGCGACTTTAGTCCAGCGGGTCCGCACCCTGCGGCTCGTTGGTCCCTCTGCAGCGGCTTTTTCAAGCTTTCACTAAAACTAACACAAAACTGAATTCTATTAGTTGCTATACAAAAAAAATAAAATAAAGCTGGTTTTAGCAGATTTCAATTTGCAGCTTTTCGGTCATTTATTTTGAAAATATACAGTAAATACCAGAACGAATACAAGGTGTAATATAATTTAGCTTTATTTCTATACTTATTTTTCCACAATAAAAAAAAACAAAACACAGGTTTGCATAATTCTTAGTTTGTTTAAATTTTAAAAAAATGATTAAAAAAATATAAAACATTATTTTTTCCTTCTTTACAAGAATCGGGTCTTTTCTTTTGTTTTAAATTGTAAAAAATATCAACAGATGTTAAAAACCATTAGATATTTGTAGCCACAAAAAACCTGCCCAACAAACCCAAAGTGGCCCACGGGCCACCACTTGATAATCACAGTTGTAGCAGGTTGCAGCTCTGGCCACGTTTAATTTAGTGAACGAAGGTGCAAAAATGTCTCTGTTGATCAGAAAGTTTGCAGACCCCTGATCCAGCAGCTGTGGTGAAGTGGTCGGACAGTCAACGTGGGACTGGAAAGTCACAGGATAGATTCCCCACCCGTAGGTTGTGTCCTTGAGCACGACCTATTCCCTGCCTGCTTTCTAGGCAGCTTAACAATAGCTGCTCCCTCCTTCACCACGTGTGATGAGCCAAATGCAGAGGACAGATCATTAGGGAACAAACAATGAAATCTGGGGCTTCAGTGTGACGCTTTGGGCAAAACACTGAACCCCAACAGCTCCTGATATTCAGATGGGTGATAACATGGTAAGTGCTGTATATCTAGAATGTAAAATATTTGATATAAAGCTGTGTATGACTGGGAAACATTGTAAAACACTTTGCAGAACCTGGAGAGGTTAAAAAGATGAATTCAGCATCGTCAGAATATTGGTGATAATTCTGTGAGACCAACTATTTGACAAATTCTAGCCTTAAAAGTAACCCATGAAAGATCTTGCATATCATTTAAAGGCTGTACCTCTCAATAAAACCTGTTTATTAATCTTTTATACATACATTTTGACAAAGATCATGAACGTCCTTATTTAAAGGTTTAGTACTCCACAGGAAAGAGAGAAGTGAAGAAAAGGAAATCTATACTGTATGTTCAAACTCAACGTCAGATGAGCACTAAAGGTGCTCAACTTTTTTTGTTATAAACTATTTATTCAACGGGATTTTCTACAGAGAGAGGAAGTGGTGGTTAAAATGATAAGTAACTTTAAATGAGACTTTAAAAAAAAAATGAAGAAATTTGTATTACTTTTGTACTTTGTATACAACAAGTAAATTAGTTTTTGCTGAATGATTTTTATTCGTTAATAATGCTCCAAGTTGGAAGCAAGTTTGATTTAGTTGATGAATAAATAATAGAGGGGAAATATTGAAAACATTCATTATTTCCAGGTCAGACTGAACAAACCTTGGTTTAGTTCATGTTCACAGGAACACCTGCATAATCTACAGGTGCACCTCAGCAAATTAGAATATTGTGGAAAAGTTCACTTTTTTTGTAATAATTTCAGAAGGTGGGCAGCACGGTGGCACAACTGGTAGAGCTGCTGCCTCTCAGCGAGCAGGTCCTTGGTTCAAATCCCAGCACGGGGCTTTTCTGGGTGGAGTTTGCATGTTCTCTCCGTGCATGCGTGGGTTTTCTCCGGGTACTCCGGTTTTCTCCCACAGATCAAAGATATGCATGTTAGGCTGATTGGTAACTCTAAATTGTCCCTAGGTGTGAGTGAGAGAGTGGATGTTTGTCTTTGTGTGTCTCTGCGATGGACTGGAGACCTGTCCAGTGTCCCCCGCCTCTCCAACAGTGACTGCTGGATACGGACACCAGAGACCCCCGCGACCCAAAAAGGAAGAAGCGGGTAAACGATAATGGATGGACGGATTTCTGAAAGTGAAACTCGTATATTATAATTGCACATAGAGTGAAATATTTCAAGGCTTTATTTCTTGTAATTTTGATGATTATGTCTTACAAATAATAAAAAGCCAAAAATCAGTGGCTCAGAAAACATTCCACAGACAGTTTTTGGTACCTTTGTCAGTGTAGGATAGAGACAAGTCCTGCTAGAAAATGAAACCAGCGTCTCCATGAAGCTCGTCAGCAGAAGGAAGCATGAAGTCTCTAAACGTCCTGCTAGATGCTGCGTGGACTGTGGACTTCAGCAAACACAGAGGACCAACACTAGCAGAGGACATGGGTCCAAACTATCACGGACTGTGGAAACTTCACACTGGACTTGAAAACAACGTGGATTCTGGACCTCTTCTCTCTTCCTCCAGACTCGAAAATGTATTTTCGTCTGAAAAGAGGACGTTGGACCACTGAGCCACAGTCCAGTTCTTTTGTCTCCTCAGCAGGTAAGACGCTTGTGATGTTGTCTCTGGTTCAGGAGTGGCTGGACTTGAGGACTGAGACATTTGTAGCTCACGTCCAGGAGTTCATCAGCTGATCAGGGTGAGACACCAGGAATTTCTAATATTGAACCTCTTCAAAATATTTTGCTTTTGAGACACTGAATTTGAGTTTTTTAAATATTTGTAAAACAATAATCATCAAAATTACAAGAAATAAAGATATGGAATATTTCACTGTGTGTCATGAATCCATGTATGACTATTATTTTATGAAATGACTGACAAAATATTTAAACTTTTCAAGATATTCCATTTTTTAGATGCACCATTTACCCACTGCTTTTATTATTTTCTTCTAATTTTGTCCCCTATCTGCATGTCATCATTAAGTAATGTATTAGCTTGTTATACTTTTATCATTTTTATTAGATTAATTAATATAAATCGACACATTTGATACAGAAAACAGTCAAGTGCTACTTCACTGTCAACACATCCGTGAATTTATACTGTTACTTAAGACGAAACTAACACTCATTTGTAATAGACTGGACAAGTAATATGAGTCAAATGAAGCTATAAAGTCTTAATAACAAGCAGCGCATGGTTTACAAACTTGTGAGTGATCTAAAAAGCATTAAGGGTTTGACAACCTGGACAATGAATCGACACTCGGCTGACGGGAAGAAGGCTTCGAGCCCAAGCTGTCGATGCTCCCGCTTTTCTCCATGTTCTCCTGGTAAGAGAGTGTAAGGGAATGTGGCGAAAACTCCGAGTTTCAGAAGGAGAGCCGTGTTTCTACAGGACACTGGCTTTACATTGCCTCTGGCAGCAAAACGAAATTCTACAACGAAAAGGAAGCTGCCATTTTTGTTTTACTCAGTTCCCTCCCAGTCCCCGGACCGTCGCACAACGCGTCTAGTGGCGAGAGAGCGCCCTCTGCTGGCGGACTGCTTCTACTGCACTCATAATCATCGTCGCACAAAGAGCTCTGCTGTGAGATCGACCCCTGCTGGCTAATTCTATGTACTGCAGTGTTTTCTTATGCACTGAACGTTTAGACCTTTTAACATTTTATTAACCTAACTGAGAACGGGGGAAGAGAAAATATGTGATTTACTGAAAATTTGACTTGTAGGAGGGATATGATTTGTAGAAGTTTGACATTTAGGGGAAGTGGCTGATTTTCCATTAGTAACTGTGTCAAATAAAAATCTAGAATCAACAAATATCCTGATGCATGCTCAATAATCTAGATAGAAAAATCTAAAAAAGTTAAATCTGGTCCTCTGGACATTCAAAAAACAAAACAAAGCAAAACAAAAAAATGTAGAAACGTTTCGTCTTTCATCCGAAAGACTTCCTCAGTCTGAGGTGCTGTATTGAGCTCAGTCTTATAAAATAGAATAGAAACTAGAATCAACAAAGCGTCTGTTGAAACAGTTCAGGATCTCGTGCTTATTTGACACAAAAAACAGTTAACAAGAAGTTGTGAGCTGCCTGAGAGAGATTTGATGGTTTTCCAGAATCTTTTAGGGTCATTTACATTTTTGGAGGTCTGAGATAATAAATAGTTATGTTTTGCAGCTTTGATGGAAGATGATGTAATAAAGTCATTTCAGGCAGAAATAGCAGGAAATTGTGTTTTAATCACTTTTTGACATAATAAAACACATATTTTGGACAATGTTTGGTAGTTTTTCAGTGCGAAACTTACAACATTCAACTATATCTGTGTAATATAATCCATCTTAGTGTAATATGGCATTTCAGGCAGAAATAGCTTTTCATTAGGCAGGAAATGGACCTTTGGCAGAATAAAACACATATATTGGTCCAGGGTATTGCAGATTACAAGGCTCTATTGTACGTGGAGGAGTTGAAATGTCAGATGGCTTGAGAGACAAAGGTCTTCCTGAATCTGTCCGTGGAGCAGGGGTGGCCTGGGACAGCAGTCTACCGATGAACGAGCTTCTCTGCTTCATGATGGTGCCATGCACAGGGTGGTCAGTGTTGTAGCTTTATGCTCTATCAGCTGTGGGTTGCATGCATATTTGAGTAGCTTATGAGGAAAGACTGAGACTTCGTACTGAAGGCCCAACAGCAGCCTTTCTCTGCTTTATTCACAACTCAAGGTACAACAACCACAACCGTAAAATGGACGCGCTACCTAGTGGTCACAGTCATCACAACATGTGCTGTCAGTGCGATACACCACATCCCTCTTTTTCCAGAAAAGAAGTACATTCTGACCTTTAACTTTTATATATGAACTTCAAATGCTTTTACTTTATTTAGCAGATGCTTTACAAACCAGTAACTGAATGTCCACTCAAGCGTATCTGGCAGGATGCCTGACTGCTCGACCACTGCATGGGTAACATGTAGGTGCATTGTTCAAACTTGCTGAAGGAGGAGCGCTTGGTTCTCCAGGTTGCTCAGCAGGAGATTGTTCTTCCAGGTCCGACTGTTCATCTGTGGATGTGTCTCTGAACAAACTTGGATGAATTTTCCTCAGATGCCTCCTGAGCAACTTTCCAGCTGGTGTTTGGACGGTGTAGGATCGTGGGTCCTCCCTCTGACGGATAACAACTGCTGGCTCCCAGCTGCGCTGTGTCAGCATGTGCACCGTGTTACCTGGAGATAATGTTGGTAGTGATCTTGCATGCTCATCAAAGTGTTGTTTCTGGTGGGACTGTAGAGCTCTTATTTTGTTGGAGATGTTATGTGGGGTTGGTTGTTTGAGCACAGCAGTGGAACATGGCAGTGTGCTGCGCAGGACTCTTCCTGGCGAAAGGGACAGATCTCCTTGGGAATCCCATATCTTGCAAAGACAGATTTCATCTTTTGTATTACTGTGGATGCTGTTTTGCTGGGAAGGTTTAGCACCTCAGGATATTTGGTCAGATAGTCCACTAGCAACAAATATGACTGACCGTTTAGGTCAAAAAATTCCGCTCCAATTTTCATCCATGGTAGGTCTGGGATCGAATGTGGGACAATGGATAGAGCTTACCGAGGACCCTTTTCTCAGCCACCGATGTAAGGGACTCCTGCTCTGTTCCCAACACAGAACCAGCTTTCATCACCAGCCTGTCAAGTGGCCCAGCAACTCTCCTCTTAATGCTGCCTCCCCAACACACAACAGCACAGAACAGGACAGACCACAGACTGGTAGAACATCAACAGTAGTTTCCTGCAGATACTGAAGGACCCAAGCCTCCCCAGGAAGGACAGCCTGCTCTGACCTTTTGGAATCAGTGTTCACTGACCAGTCCAGGATTTACCCAGATATTTGTGGATCCTGACCACATCGACACCTTCAATTGAGACTGGCTTCAGGGTAGGCCTGGACCTTCTGAAGTCCACTACCATTTGTCTTAATGTTCATCTATAGATGTTTGGATTTGCACTACGTTACCATGTCCTCCACCAGGGTCCTGTCCGTCCTGCACACACCCAACGATTGCAGTGTCATGTGAGAACTTCTGCATGTGGCAAGTCTCCGAGTTATATCTGAAGTCAGATGTGTACAGGGAGAACAGAAATGGAGAGCACGGTCCCCTGCGGTGCTGCATGGATTATTGTATTATTTTCAAATAAAGATTTGTGTGCGTGTAGTTTTATGTTGTATTTTAAATATTAATTTTTTTGTTGGAAAGCACATTGGCTATGCAGGAAATTTGCTGAATAAACAAAGTTTTATTTGATTTGACTCCTATCACACTTTCTTCATAAAAGTGATTATGTACAACCAAAACAAATTAAATGTTTAACACACTTGGTGAAATACTTCAGTTCCGTCTAATAATGTAAACAAAAACGTTCAGTTTTGCAAATAGCAATTTTAATATCACCTAATAATTTTAGCAATCGGGGAAATTTTTCCTAAAAACATAAAAAATTGCACAAATAGTATTTCTTTTCACGTCAATGTAGCCAAGAAGTTTAGAAAGTGTTTACTATCATTTTAAATTCTGTAAGTTGTTTAATACAAAAAACAAGTAATTTGTTATATTCCTGATTTAAAGTCTTGACTTTTTACATTATTTCAAAAACTTTGCAGGATCATTTTAGAACTAATAGGATCAAAATGAACACTGTGACTTTAGTTTATTTCATTTCCTTAAAAGTACATCTATCTGAGCAAAACAATTTAATGTTTCTTCTCTCGTTTAACTACAAAAAGTTTTTCTCCTACATTTTCTTTCTTTCAGTGTTTTAAGTGGAAACTGAAGTTGAGCTTGCAGATGTCAAACAGCTGTGATTTCACCATTTTAACTGATGACGCTATTGTTCTTGGTCATTTTAATTAATAATCTGAGGATTTAAGCCTGTCCTCATGTAGAAATAAATAAATGTAAATACGATGCTTTCCCACAACAAAAATACTGTTTTTAAAATGAATTCTAATAGTATAAAAAAAAAGCTACTGTCCTAACACATCACTGACTCTCAACAGCTTGTTTCTGTATTTCTCAGTATAAAAATAAACTTGGGGAGCAAACTCATCATTTATTAAAAAAAAAGAAAAAAAAGAAACCGAATAAAACACTGAATTTTTACAAAGTTTTACACCAAAGATGTAACTCAAAACTCACTCATATGCAGCAATTTACCTGCTAACTGTACAGCTTCTAATGTATTTAAATGTATATGACATTGATCGTTCATAAAAGAGATTCAAATTAAACGCACACCAAGTCCTTTACTTTACATATTTTTCCATAAACTTCTTGTGGAACTCGGAGCGCAGCGTGTCATTGACGAAGCGCTTCTCTTTCCGTGCCTCGTCCACTCCTTTGGCGCAATTTTTGAATACGACGTCATCATCCCACCTAGAAGGATCGAGATAAAGGAACGTTTTTTTTGTTCCTGATAACATTCATTCAGACACACTGAGAGAAGATCTTTGTGTGTGAGTTACCTTCTCTTGACTCTGAACGTATTTGGAGTTGGGGTCTGTTGCTGCTGTCCTGCCAAATTAATCAACGGGTTGCCACTCAAGACATTTTGCACTCGAATTCTCTCCTCCTCTGCCTTTTGCTCTCGCTCCTAAAAAGGTATAAAATAAAATAAATGAAGGCACAAAATCAGGCCCCTCTCTAACAAATTGTAATTTATTTGTTGATTTTCACACAAGTGTTAACTCCTTACTTTGCGTTCTTGCTCTTCAGCCCGCTCTTTCTTAATCTTTTCCAGTTCAGCCAGGAGGGCTGCGGTGTCATCATCATCACTTTCGTCCTCAGAGTTCTCCTCCTCTTCTTCCTATGAAAAAAAAGACCAAATCAGTATAAGTGCCTGATGACAGTTTACCATTTGTTTCAGTGTTAGGACTTACATCAGTGAGAGGATCATCGGCATCAAGGTTCGCTGCAGGGATCTGGTCCAGTCTGGGCCTTTTTGAAGATGAAGACGAGGATGATGATGTGGTGTGTTCTGGAGAAATTAAATCGACACAAGCAAGTTAAGAGGATCAACCTTGGGGAGCTCTGTCAGAAATATTCGTACAATTGTTATTTAAAAACCAAGTTTAATGTCCGTAGAAAGACTAACCTCTTGGTCCCCTCTCTCTGGGCTTCTCACGTGCAACGACACGCTCCCTTTCCTCCAGCTCCCTGCGAAAGTCACGGGCACGCACCTCCTCAGGGGCATCCTGGGTGGGCTGCCTGTTCACAAAGAGAAGAAATACAACTTAAGTATCTGGACTCCAATATGAATCCACCCTTAAAATAGACAGGAGATGTAAAACATTTAATATGTTGAACAATCAACTGATTTGACTGAAGGTACAGTCAGTTCGTCTGGTCCTCTGACCTGTATTTGATCTTGGTGTGTCCTGGAAGATCACGACTGGAATACTGCTTGGAGAGGGCACTCAAATCCCCCTCTCCTTTCCCCCTTCCTCCTCTTGCGGGTTCAAATGTTGGTCTTGCAGCTGTAGTCATCTTTGATGGCTCTAACGTAGCACATAACGTAATACAACATCGTAACAATGCAAGACATAACAGTTTACTTAAGATGTGACGTAAATTAAGATACAAATAACACAAAAGTTTGATTCTATGACGTTTGTGAAGCTTATTTTTAGGTAGAGTAAGCTTGTTTGCTAATTTAAAACACAGGTTAGCTTGCTGCTAGCCACTCACGCTAACGAGCTGCTAACATGCTAACCAGCGTCGTAAAGCTGGTTAGCATGTTAGCAGCTACAAATTGTTTTGTAAACAATTCACACACGTTTTACGTGAACATTATTAAAATTGAGCTATCATAACTTCTCTGTATAAAAAAGTATTTCAAAAACAAAAACACTTACAGAGCTGCTACAACACGGCAACACGGTAAAATACAACCAGCCAGTCAACGCTCCGTGTGACGTCACTTCCGGGTCAACCCCCCCCGAGAAAAGAAGATGCGTTCATAAACAATTGGATAATATTAATACACGAACATTATAAAACAAACTATAAAATATTAAATAAAATAATCGCTTTGTAATCTGTTCTTTCTAAAAACTATATAGTTTTTCCACTATAAGATTATTCCAGAGATCCGAAGATATATATATATTTTTTCAGTCTGATTGAAAACGTGATACAAAAACTTTTTCCTGAAGTGGGACTAAGTTCCCTGTATGTTTAATAAACTACTCTCAGTGATCCTTTTTTTCAAATAAGTATTCAAAATTTTTACGTTTAAATAGTGAACGTTTTAAATTAGTCGTTGTGGGAAATAAATTTAGGCTAGGTCTTCACTTATTAAGACATCATCTGTACAACTAAGCTTCTATAAATAACAACACGTAAAGTGCTTTATCTGTTATCACACAAATCTGTTTTTCATAATTACTCTGAGGTATCGTTCTTCTATAGTTTTGTTGAACAGAAACTAGTAAAAATATTTTCAACCTTAATGTGTATTACATATTATAGCAAAGTATGCAAAATATGAAAACCACAAATGCTGTTTGTAATTCCATAAATATCAAGTTTTCAGGATTGTAGTTTGGTCACATTTTTCCACAGCGTGCACGTTGTGAGACATCGAGACAGTGCAAACAGCTGAAGACAAGAACTCTGTTGTTTCTGACTCACACATATTAATTTAATACAAAGAACAAGTATTTGAGATCAGTACACGAAACAGTATTTCCAGATGAGGTCTCACAGTTCAAACTCTCAAAGTTCACAATTAAACCACAATGACAAAAGAATAAGTTGTAAAAATAATGATAAATGACAGCTTTAGTTTTATTTTCCTCACTTTGTCAAGTCAACATGACTAAACACATACTTGCAATGAGGTAAGAAACGTGAATTGCCATAAAAGTAAATATAGCAATTTTGTTGTCTACAAAATTGATTAGATATCTCCCATGCAATAAACACATCTTTTATCAGAATCAGAATAATCTTGATTATCATTGCACTGAAGTACAGCAAGATTATATTCCGTACAGTCATCCGAAAGATGGGCGGAGTGCATGTGGCTGCAGCTCCTAGGTGCGTGACCCCTTATTCTTTAGATAGAAAAAGGGAAAGACCACGAGGAGAGGGTAGTGGTATTACAAAAATAATCTCTTCACACCTTGTCCTTGTCAGGATTTATGACGTCAAAAAACTCTACTAGCAAGAACATTTATAGACACATTACATATGTGATGACAAGACGGTGAGATTTGTCCATGAAAACTGGTCTGCTTCAAGACTGAATGGGCAAGTCAGATTCAGATAAGCCACAGTTTAAAAAAAAAAATGCAGGCAGACTGTTATTTCTCATCAGCATTGAGTTCTGCTGGTACTTTCAATATCCAAAATGGCCAGACTGTGCTTATTAGCTTCCTCCAAGGTCGTCCCCAACATGCTAGCGAGTCCCAGAGGCCGCTTCCAACTTACGATTTGAGCTCGTAAATCAGCTGATTCTGAGAGCTTGAAGCACGAACCAATCCTTCACATAAGGTGGGCAGCTTTGTCATGGCTGAAACTGCTGCTGTTTTCTTTAATAGCTGATAACATAGGTATCCAACGGTGCCAAAAAGAAGAAACCCTGCTATCATAAATCCAATGATATATACATCTTTGGTACCCTCCTGAGACAATACAGAAAGGCACATCAGCTTCCATTCACCCCACGGATCCATGACATACAGTATTCTGTTGTATGCATCTCAGTGGGGCATGAGGGTTCTCCAGGACCCTGTTGCTTGGTTGAAAAAATGTTATCAAATGCACTGAAAGTCCAGCTGATTTGGAAGATGTGTAAATAGAAGCTCCGATGCGCAGGACAAGAGAGCAAAAAAGCAGGAGGGAGCAGGAGAGGGAAGAAAAAGCATCCGTCTTGCTCAAGAGCGAGTGAGGAATGAATTTTATATTTTTAATAAAACAAGTTATGGATGCTGTTCCATAACAAACTTTATCTGAAGCATTTTTTTAAAATCCAGTACAAATGTATTAACAACAAATAAAGCAATATTCCTTGAAGGAATGCATATCGCCCGCCATTTTTTATGCTACAGTTCAAGATCATCTCATGTTGAGAACAGACATTGTGCGTTCTGGTGTAAATACGACAAAATCTCAAGAGATCTGCTAGCGTTTAGAGTATGTGTTGAGGATGACTCTCAGCTACTGCCACACCAAATTTTAGCTCAATATTTGCTAAACTGGCTGAGTTGTCGCCTTTTTTTGTGTTTTTTAAGATTTCTTACCCATGGCTGTCATTTTGACTTGGGTTGAATCCAAAAATAAATCAGCTGTAGATGTTTTTCCATTGAGTACTTCACTGAGAGGTTCATTAAAATGCAGATTTTGCGAGTAGACAAGCACAGACATGGACAAAAACATTCTTACCCTTCGCATTTCTGGAGTAATAAGAGAAAACAGAAAGTTTCAGTCACATAAACTCAAACGATGATTTCCAGCTAGAGTCAGATATGATTGTTTATTCAGTTTCTACACCTTTTCGTGTTTGAAAGAAGATTACTCAAAGACGGGGGAGATAAGTGAACATTTCTACTTAACTCCCTTTCATTACAGTACATTTTGAAGCGATAATACAAAAGATCGCAGCCCCCATCTTGTTATGGTGACTTAACTTAACCACATACTGTACTCCTAAAACCCCAGAGAGTGACCTGCAAATAATCCAGTTAATCAGGATGTTAAGTACCATTTCCTCTTCTGCTGGAGTGAAAACGATAACGCAAGGGTCTAAGAAGGCGGCAGAATAAAGCAGTTTGCAATCAGGTTTACCTTGATTCCCAACATCCTTACTGAAGGAACAGTGCATTTCAAGAAATGTTTTTTCTGTAAAGCTAAAAGCGAAACAAAATGAAACAGCTTCCTTATCGTTTATCTGATAAGATGCATCTGAAAAGTGTGGGTGTCTAAAAATACATTTTAAAACAAAGATAGTAAGGGGAAGTTGTAATGGATATTTCAAAATGCCACTTTTTAAACCAAGATAAAACTAGAAATAACACCCACCCACTCAATTAGCCCCTGTCCTCTCATCCAGGTGTCACTAACAGGTGGAAAGGGGGTGGAAACTAAAGTGATGGTGGAGTTAAATATCACGTTCTTCCTGCCCGAGTCCCACAGAGACAGAGGAGGAGGCTCCACACACACCATCTGCTGCAGACTCCAACAGGTGAGAGCTAAACATGACCTCGAGAGCAGACCTCATTCTGGTCCTCTTTACACGCTCGCTGACTTCAAGGCTCATTATACAATCTGAATGGACTTCATTTATTATGCATGGCCAATTCTGACCCGGTTAATTGCCGCCGGCACGTCTTTAGATAAGATTCATTATAAGTGATTAAAATCTAAGTGAGGGTCAAAAGGTCAGCAGGAGCCCGGAGAGAAAACAGAGATGCTGAGTGTGACCTGCATGGTGATGTACACAAAGTGAAGCTGAGATTAAAGTGTGATTTTATTAAAACGACTAAGTGTATGAAAGTGGCTAAAATGCATCAGAACTTTTGACTTAACATTGATCCAGCTGAGCACAGTGGTTAAGATGGAGAAAAAAACTGAAATATGTTTTTTACAGTCCAGAAAATAATTTGTTTAGGCAGAAGGAAGATTTTTCAAGTTGTAGTGTCGACTCAATAAACAGGTTTTGATTTCCCAACTTGGAATGAGGAGAGCATCGACAGGAAGAGGATAAGAGTCATCGTCACCGAATCTTCAAACCGAGCGTCAGAGGAAACATCATGTCCAAAGGTAGCTCCTACTTTTGAATCCTTACAACGATTTTAAGGAGAGCTGAAAAAAACAACAACATTTTCTCTGGAAATGCAATGTGAATGCTAAATGAGTCCTGAGCGGACATGTTAAACCTAAAAACCAACAGAACTCTGGCCATAAGAAGCTAAACAGTAGCTAAAGTTTAGCAATAATAAAACCCCAAGTAAAAACTAAAAGTAGTATAACTTAAGCTCAAATCTTCAGTGGTTACCGTAAATGCTAGCTAAAAGCAGCAAAACTGCTTACGAAAGGCAACAAAAGCTAAGTAAATGCTAAAAGTAACAAAACGGTAGCTAAAAGCAGCAAAAGGTCGGTTAACAGTAGCAAAATATTAGCCAAAAGGCTAGCATAGCAGAAGGCTATTCAAAAGCTAAAATAAGGACAGTAGCTAAAAGCCAGAAAGAGTGAAAGCCTATAGGTAAAAGCTAAAAAAAAGCTAAACTCTAACTCATCAGCAGTAGTGAAATACTAGCTAAAAGCAAACAAAAAAGTTAACTAAAAGGAGCAAGTTTAGTTAAAAGCTGAATATAACAAAATACTAGCTACAATTTTAAAAAATCAAAAGATTAGTTAAAAGCATCAAAACACGCCAAATGGTAAATGTAGCAAACTTTAGTTAGATGCTGTGTAAGGTCAGCAAAAAGTGGTAAGACTAGCTAAAACCTGAGTAATGAAGGTTTTACTAAAAACTAATAGTAGCAAATATTAACTAAAAGTAGATAAATGCTAGCAAAAAGAAAAAAATGTAGCTAAAATCCAAAAGTAGTAAAACTATAAAAGCTACAAGTAGCATAACTCCAGCTAAAGCTAACAGTAGTGAAATTCTAGCCAAAAGTAGCTAAATGTTAGCTAAAAACTAAAGTAACAAAAGGCTAATAAATAGATAAATAAATAAAGGCTAATTAAAAGCATCAAAACACTAAAATTTAAATGTAGCAAAACATGAACTAAAGCAGCACAAATTCAGCTACAAGTAGGCAAAGGCTAGCTAAAACAATAAAAGGCTAACTAAAAGCTAAACATAGCAAAATGCTAACTCAAAGTAGCAGAATGGTAGTTAAAAACAAAGTAGCTTAAGAAGAGCAGGTTTGCTGAAGCCCGTTTTAAAAAGGGCTGCGAGATCTCAGTGCATTTCTA